CACCAGCTGTGGAAAACAGCCATGATACGTTTTGTGATTACAAAATTGGCACACGTGCGATCGGAAAACTCCACATCACCCCTCTTACCCAGCGCCACTGCCCATCATCTTGCATGTTTCTATGACCAAAGATTTGATCCCTGAAAATGTGTTTATCCACAAAAAGGGTTTCCGTTTGATTAAATGAATAAAAAGCATATCAGAATTAAAATATAGCAGAATTTTTAGTCCAATAAACATACCAGACAAAGCAAGCATGTTTTCTCGTTCAGAAATTAAACTGCTAACTCACCATCTTAATTCTGTAGAGCTTATGCAAATACAGGTATAAGCTTTTGCAACTTCCTTCCGAGTTAGCAGTAAAACATTAAAATTCTGTAAATATGCAAACATCCCTGCTGAGGTAGCAATATTGTATGTAAATGTACAGTCAATACACTGCTGAATGAGGGCCTCAACACATTGTAGGTTTAAATGGCCATACTTCACCACACTGGTCTGGATAGGTTTAAGGTGGGAAGCATAGTACGTAATACGAAAAGGATATTACATTGCTCCTAACCACCAAGCCGAGAGGCCTATAAAATGTGTGTGTGTATGCTGGTTACCAAAGTAATATCAAGGCTGAAACCCTGCACGACTTGCAAAATGTAAAAAGACTGAGGTGCATTCTGAACAGTTATTAATTTGGTCTGACGAATCACATGGAGCCTTCACCACCACTAACTAAGCATTACTGTACAGGCCCTATCGAGGTGTACCACTTAACCATACTATGATACGGCAGGAGAGTCATGGGGAGACCTTAATCCAACAATGAATTGACAAAGGGCTGATTTTTTTTTTAAACAGCAGCAGCATAGCTTATTTTAACCACAGTAAATTCGGCATCATACATGCGTGACTGTACCGAAATCCATGATAGGAGGAAATCGTGAGCAACGCACCGACCTGCTGGAATGCTTCTCATTCTAGGTTTTGAATCAAGCCTATATTTTTAATGCCTCATTGTTAATATGCATGTCTATTACAATGGCACTATACTGTAGTTTATGGAACCTCTGGTAAGAAAATGAGTCGACAGCGGAGGTGGTCGAACTATGTATGTAAAAATACATTTTCCATTGCGTCAAACCCATGGGCTCTTTTAGCGACGTAAACACATGCTACGCTTAAATAAAATATGTTCCCCTGCACGCATCCATATCTAACGGCGAGGAGCAGTACACTGTGGGCACACAAGCCCGGAAGGGTTACTGCCAAATTGGTTCTGAAGCCAGTGTTGGGGGTGGGTTGGCTCTGTCGCAACCTCTCAAAAGTTTTAGCGTGCACACCATTATCGGGTTTTCCCAATTTACTTCTGATTGTAATAAGGGGCCTTTGAAAAACTATAAAAGTTGCTTGTAAAAATAGACAATAAGGATATGTATACACACGTAATGCATTCAAAGGCATTTAAGCGTGCAGGGAATGCATTTCGAGTAAAAACAAATTGTCTGCACGTGTCAGTATGATCAATGGTCAGGTTATGCCACTTACACGCACACGGTTGTACTTGTATAAGTCATGTTATTTCCGCGCATTGTAAACCAGTTACACCTACGGTATTGTCTACACTGGTAATAAGCAGTGGTTTCATACCAGATTACATTGATACCCATCCCTGACGCCCGTATATTTGGAGTTTGCATGCTCTCCCCGTGGTCGCGTGGATTTAAAAAAAAACATGCATTCAGATTATTTAGATAACTTGTGCTATAAATGTCCAAATGATGGGCCACTTTGTTGAGCTATCATTTGTGGCCAGGTTGCTTGTGAAATATAAGTTAATACCTCAGTAGGCTTTGCCTGGTAGGATGGGAATGTTTTAGTTGTATTTGGGTGATTTGTTAGCCTCTCTTGTACTTTGCACTATCATGTTTTTTGTATTGTTCGCTGTTGCAACGTTCTTACCCGCTTTATAGCTTATCAGATTCCTCCGGGATAAATACATATTCTGATTATAAACTATTGTAATACCATTTCCATAATGACCAACATTAAATGTCTAGATTTGTAGTTAAGTCAAAGTTCGCGGGTGGCATATTATAATAAAACCACAACTACGAATTAATGTCTCGATGTAGATTATTTTACATTTGGGGTAAACGTTTCTGAAATCGTGGAAGCAACATCCATCGTCACCGCCAGACTATGTCTCCCGAGTTTGTCAGGTTTTTATTGCGGTACCACTTGAATTCTTGAGGTTACTCTTAGAAGGTAATGCTGTCTTCACACCCTCCACAAGTGATATCAACGACGTTTGCAGCACCCCCATAGAAGTTGAAGCGCCTATGGACCGGTTCCCCATTAGCCAATTGCAGTACAACCGACACTCCAGCAACATGATATGCTGTGCGCCTTTTAACACACCGTACAATGTAGGCAACATGCCATAGTGTTATAATTATAGCTATAAATGATTACCAGTTTACAAAATCATACATAACATATGAGGATGCGCGAAAGAATCACATACTGTACTTCATGTACCCAAATAAACCACTCAATACACTAATGTATTCAGGCCGAGTTAGGAAAGGTTAAGCACGGTCAATTACGTATGTGTAGACAATAACAACAATAAGTGTTGGAGCGGTGGCACCGTGGTTAGTGCACTGTGCTGAGGCTAAAACTATTTTATATTTTAGCAGGAAAGGCCTACTGGGCTATATCGCTATTTTTATGAAGCCACCTGGCTCTCTCAAATGATAGCTCAACGCAGTGGCTTATAATCGTGGAGATTTGTAGCAGCTAAATACTCTGTTTCTAAAGGTGGATGGAAAAAACGGAGAACCCGGAAAAAATCCACGCGACCACGGGGAGAACATGCAAACTCCAAATATACAGCAGGCGTCAGGGTCGGAATCGAACCCAATGCCTTTTGTATACCAGGCGAGATAGTTAAACAACTCGCCACCATAGCCGTTTGAATCCTGGCCATGGCTAACATCAGTGGCTGGTAATATCTGAAACAGTTTCCGGGTCTCCCTTCAACAACTTACAGTGACCAGAGCAGCGAAGTATGGTGCAACACTTGCCAATGGAGTTGTGAGGCATCCATCCAACTGTGGATTATGGGGTTGTAAATAGTTATTTTAATGGAGAGAAGAACGTGGCTTTTCTACTTTTTTTTATTCGCAGGAACCAAAACTAGACGAGAGAAAAGGGCCTTTTTCGGCCTGAGGATTAGTCGTGAGCTCCGGTGCCGAGTGATGAATGTACAGTGCGGATAACATTACACACTGCATTGACCTGTTTAATCCTTTGGTTATCTCGCTAATACGTCAATCGGCAATAAAACCAGGGCTTTTCAACAGAGAATAAAACGTGTCGGTCTATCGCTTTCCTTCCTAAAATGGTCGAGAGAAGAGGATCATGGGATGTCTTTCTCAAATAGACATTACAGTGGTGTTCCGCGTTCCCACGACGGGGACGAGTATATCCATGATAACCACCGTTAACTTTCCCTCCAAGTGGTACTTTACTCATTCGATAAAATAGAAGGAACAATATGGCTGTGTAAACCCCTTTGTAGTCTCGCTCGACTGCCGAGCCACCTAGACCGGATATAAGCAACGTCTCAAGACTTTCGCCTATCCGTCTCTCCACACAACCCATCATCCCCACGGCATTTCTTGGAGTGCGTAGTAATTCCAGTGGCATTGAATCAAGACAAACAAACACTCAGCTGGTGTCGACATCGTGTCTCATCGGCAGTCAGGTTTGATTGAATCAATCCTGGTGTTTTATGGACATCTGTCAAAAAGAGATTTATAGCTCATCGGATTCCTCCAGTATAAATCAATATTCTGATTCTGTTAAAGGGAAGCACCCTATCTTTACGATAATGGAGTCCTAGTTTGAGGCAAACTAAAATATATAGTCCTACACACTCAAAATAATAAGCGTCGTTATGGAGAATATCAATAACAAAACAATGCATCCATAATCCGCCTCAAAATAAAACAAAATATTAATGTAATTCCTACACAACCCATCAGCGCCATGGACTTCTGGGAATGCATAACTCAGTTTAAATTGACCGGTCCAAAAAAGGTTTTAGTTGTAAACGTGCAAATTAAAATTGCATCTCGTGACGTAAACGTTCTTATGTTTCTACACGGCCTGTTATTTTCACCATGGAGCACAGCACTGATACAGGATGTGAAGCGTATTACTTCACTGCTATAATACAATCGCACATGTTGTTCGAGTTGGCAGCAGAAACGAAGTAAACGTGGATGATAGTGAATATATTTCCCACTGAAGTTAAGGTGTCCGTCGTATAATTCGGTGGGTGCGAGGGCGTTTAGAGTATTTGGCTGCGATAAATGTCCACATGATAAGCCCCTTCTCGTTGAGCTATCATTTATGGACAGGGTGCTTCTGAAAAAGAGCTATTAAATATAGGTTAGTGGGCCTTACCTAGTAAAATAAAAACAATTGTTTAGTTTTAGTGACCTATTTTTTTTAATACATACTTTCCTGACACCGGGCACACGTTCGGGTGATTTTTCCTTTCAGGAAGGTCTTGTAATCCAGGGGAATATTTATTGGATCGTACAGGCCCATTTTCACAAAATGTATCAAGGCGAAGCCATTTAGCTATCCTGAAAAGTCTCGCCGAGGCAGATGGCCCATTTCAGGAGGGCTCGTGCATTGGGGATGTTCGAATTGCCCATGGTAAAAGGAGTGGTTTACATGTGGGAAAAAAAAACAAAGAAGGCACCACCACCCGCCACCTCGGATGAGACTCAAACACAACAGGATACAAAGGTCCACACGTGCCTAAAAACAGCATGGAGCAGGTGTGGAAGTGTGCCTACACGACAGCACGGAGCAATGTGTGGAAACGTTTAGTTAATGTGCCTACACACAGCAGCAAGGAGTACGTGTACAAGTGTACCTAAGACGTGCCTACACACAGCAACATGTGTCAAAGTGTGGTAAATACGTACCTGGGACAACAGTAAGTACGTCCGTGGAGAAAAGCTCTCTGGACACAACAAGCAGCGTGTGTAGAAGTGTAGTAATACGTCGCTAGACACAGCAACAGGGAGTTGTGTAGACGTAATGTGGTTGGTCACTGCAACAAGGAGTATGTGTTAGAAGTGTTAGTAACGTCTCTATAGACAGCAACAAGGAATGCGTCAAGAATACGTAGCCAGACACAGCGACAAAAGTGTGTGTGTACACAAGTGTAGTTAATACGTGGCTGGACACATCAACAATGAGTGCGTGTAGCAAGTTAATACGTGGCTAGACACGGCAACAAAGGAGGAGGGGGGGAGATTGGTAGGGGGAATGTGTCGAAGTTACAGTAAAAGTATTTTCCGCGACCAGCAAAGCCGAGTTTCGCGATAAGGAAGTGGCGAGAAACGTGTGCTCAAGCTCGCTTTCCACATGGCGCTTGCGAAATTACACGCGGCTGCGCGGCAGCATTAAGCAAGGTCGCGTTTCCCGTCCGGCCAAGATGACCCGTGTAAACTTTTAACAACACGATGCCGAATGGTTTCTTAGCACACGCCTGGCGATTACGGTACTGCGGTGGGGAGGGATGGGGGGGTTGTTATGTGTAAGTGAAATGCAACAGAGGGCTTACTTTTTCATACCCCTCCCCCGATGGTGAGGCCAACATTGGATCGGAGGGGCCACGTTGTGCACAAGTCTTTTGCTCGACTGGCCCCGTGTTTAATTTGTCTTCTATAATCGCAGTACACGGAACGATCGAGCCGCACTTTACGTCGATTCATTGAGCATTTTAAACGTTGCTTTAGAACCACGCGGGGACAGAACGATCCATTAAAAAAAAATAACCCTCCCGTGCCTCTTAAAACCAACGAGATCGGCGCGCGCACACACACGCAGGATACATAGATCGCGTCAAAACCCCCCCCCCCCGCAGCATGCAACAAAGGTCGACATTCATTACAAGACGGTACCGTTTACCCAATTAACAGATAAAAAAAATAAACACAATTGCGCACTCTTCGCCCGGGCGAATCTCACTCACCCAAAGCACGGGGAACGCCGGGCGCGTTGCGGAAAGACCCGGCAGCCCGGGGGGACGCGGAGAAACGAGAAACGCCGCAACGGTGGTGACCGCGTGTGAGGGCAAAAAAAAAACAATAAAAAAACCCCCCGTGGTCGAATCGGTCGAAAGCTCCTCACGATGCTCGATCGCTGTGAAATTATTTTTCGAGTTTTTTTTTTTACTCTTGAACCTACCCCCCCCCCTCCTTCGTCTCAAATAATGTATGTGTAATTCGTCTGAGGCGACCTGCGTGCGATGTGTGATGTTAGAGAGAGAGAGAGGAGGTTGGTGGCGGGGGGGGTTTTTGGCGGCAACAGGTGTCGGGGGTGTTCAACGCAAACTCGCTGGGCCGCGCTCTCCTCCCAATATGGCGGCCGGGGTGCGCGCGCACGTGCCGAGAGCGGGAACGCACCGGGGGGCGGGGCCTTAAGGGGCGGGGGGGAAGGGTGGCGCCTCGGCTGTGTTGGGGAAGGGCGTGACGTGGTTTGTGGGGCGGGGCTTGAGGTGGTTGGGGTTGGCGCCTCGGCTGGGTGGGGGAGTGGCGTAGTATACCGGGAAGGGCCTGAGGTGGGGGAGGGGGGTGGAGCCTCAGCTGGGTGGGAGAGTGGCGTGGTCTGTGGGGAGGGGCTTGAGGTGGGGGAGGGGTGGAGCCTTAGCGGGGAGGGGCGTGGTTTATGGGGAGGGGATGGAGCCTCATCTGGGTGGGGGCATGGAGTGGTCACATAGTCACTTTAAGATGTTTTCTTGTTCGTGTTTTTGTTAGTTGTGGTTGCACCCGATTCAATAGCCGAATGGCTCACAGGGCTATACCAAAATAAAGAAACTGAAACTGTGGGGAGGGGCCGAACAGGCGGGGGGAGGTGGAGTGGGCGTGGTCTGTGGGGAGGGTGGCTGGGGGGAGGGTGGAACCTCAGCGGGCAGGGGGCGTAGCGTGGTTTGTGGGGAAGTCCGGAGGGTGGCTGAGGGAGGAGGGGGTGGAGCCTTAGTGGAAGGGGGCGTGGTTTGTGGGGATGGGTGGAGCCTCAGCTCGGTGGGGGCGTGGTGTGGATTGTGGGGCGGGGCCTAACGGACGGGGAGGGGGTGGAGCCTTAGCGGGCAGGGGGCGTAGCGTGGTCTACGGGGAGGGGCCTGAGGGGGACGGTGGAGCCTCAGCGGACAAGGGGCGTGGTCATTGTGGAGTGGGGAGGGGCCTGAGATGGTGGGGGTGGAGCCTCAGCTGGGTGGGGGTGTGGCGTGGTCTGTGGGGAAGGGCCTGAGGTGGGGGAGGGGAGGGGATGGAGCCTCAGCGGGGAGGGGGAAAGACTGCTTCACAATTCTGGAATACCGCCTGATGAGGCTGGTTGTAGTCACCAGCGAAACACCTTTTGGCGTCCTCTGGTCTAACACCGTTTGAGACGAGGCTCAAAAGAAAGCTGTCTCTAGTGTGGACCAATCAGTTTCAAATACAATGCATATATTATCAGAGTATGCATTTTGTTTGCATTTTGACCACAAGTATTGTGGTTAATGCAGACATTGTCTTGTAAAAGGTTTCAGTTTGGTGTTTTAACAACTTAACACCTGTTTTGTTTCCAGATAAAAGGGGAAAAACATATTCTCAGTACTCAAATTGTGAATGCTGTGGGTTTATTCTCCAACGCACAACCGGTGTGCTGAAGTAGTACACTAATTGGCACGTTTTATTTACGTGACAACCCTTACTAATTGCCGGTGTCGGCTGGTGGCTGGTCAACGACACACTTATATTCTTTGGGTCTTTCGGTAAAGTCACGTAGATAGTTTAAAATTAATTCAAATTAATACAAATAGAAGAAACAAAAACTACGACGTTTCGATCACAACACAAGCACTCATCATCAGGGAAAAAAAAAGAGAGACACATTTAGATTTACGCCGTCTAAACCCCCAAAAACCCCTTTATTATGAATAATGTTGATCGCGACAACCCTGCTACTATGTGTTAAACGGGGCGCGTTGCTGGAGGAGTGGGACAGGTCCTGGAATCCCGAGTTTCAGAATCAGAATCCTAGGTAGAGGAAAATCCAATTGTTTCAAGAGCCGCCAATGCATGTGGGGTTAAGAGATGATGGTCCTTTAGAGAGCCGTCATGATCTAAAGGAATCCGATGAGCCGCGAAGCTCTTTTTCACGGGTGTCCAAGTCGGGGCGAGTCAGCAAGTTACAACAACAAACAATGGCAAAATCGATTTTTTTTTTTAACTACAGGAGCGCAAAGTAGAGATAAAGTAAGCGAGTCACTAAAAATATGAATTACAAATGGTCTAGATGGAGGGGGCTGGGGGTGGCGAGGTGGGGGCAAGTGGTATATATGGAGGGGGAGGGGGGGAGTGGTCTATATGGGGAGGGGGGAGTGGTCTATATGGAGGGGGGGGTCTATATGGAGGGGGAGGGGCGAATGGTCGATATGGAGGGGGGGAGTGGTCTATATGGAGGGGGAGGGGCGAGTGGTCGATAAGGAGGGGGGGGAGTGGTCTATATGGAGGGGGCGGGGAGTGTTCCATATGGAGGGGGAGGGGCGAGTGGTCGATATGGAGGGGGGGAGTGGTCTATATGGAGGGGGAGGGGCGAGTGGTCGATAAGGAGGAGGGGGAGTGGTAGATATGGAGGGGGGGGGAGTGGTCCATATGGAGGGGGAGGGGCGAGTGGTCGATAGGGAGGGGGGGAGTGGTCTATATGGAGGGGGAGGGGCGAGTGGTCGATAAGGAGGAGGGGGAGTGGTCTATATGGAGGGGGGGGGAGTGGTCTAAATGGAGGGGGCGAGGGGGGGCGGAAGCGCACTGCAGCTCAGAATCAGAAGCACCTTTCATTTTAATTCTTGGAGGAATCCGCTGTTCATCACGAGCGATTCCATAGCGAGCGGCAAAATCAAACGAATCAAACGAGTGCATTCGACGACGAATCTGGAGATTGCTTAACGGAGACGCAATGCATACGCTGGTGGGGCTTGCTTATTCGTTTTGTTTTGTTTCATTTTTTTTGGTGTTTAAAAGTAAACGTGGCGTTGCATTTGCAAAATCGCGCGCCGCCTTTAACCCCCTCGGTCCAGGGTGCCATTCGAGGACACGGAGGCGCGTTTTGCTTTTTTGCTCCGCCGTGCAAAATGCGATTGTCCGCGACACGCTGAGTGATCGGGGCGAGCCGCATTGCTTAACGACTATTTCGGGTTGGCCACGAGGGAGAGAAAGGGAGAGAGAGAACGAGAGACAGACTCACAGGAGTTCCTATCCGGTCAAATGTGTTCCTGCCCTATTTGGGTCCCGTGAACTTTGAAGCATTTAGCGTATTGCTCCGGATTATAAGACGCACTTACCCCCCCACCCCCCTCACTCCACTATCCCCCAACCAGCCAGCCCCTTACCTGTATTTAAAAGCAAAAGTTGCGTCTGATAATCCGGAGAATACGGTCACGTTCACGTCCCGTTTTGCGTTGTAACCACATCCCGTCCTCGTGAGTTTAACCAATGTGTCCTGTGAACCCAGTCCGCATCGGACATGATACAATCCACTGCTGGATGAATGCCTCCCCAAGCCTCCTGCCACCGTGATCACACATTCTCCACCCGAGCACCTGCACAGCGGCTGATTAGATCTCTCCATCTTCCGCGATGGACTTTACTCTCGAGATTATATCCATGTATATAAGACGCAACGCACACACACACACATATGAAGTACCGTATATGGTCACGGTCTGACAGTGGTGACTGATTTAAACAAATGCATGCAGGGCAGTGCCGGATTAAGCTCGTGCGGGGCCTGTATGATATGTTATAAGGGACCCTAAATAAAAAAGAAACACGTAGATATTAAAACACATTTTTTTTACTTGTATAGTAAAGCAATTGTATTTTTTTCATTTGCTATACAACCAGATAATACGACAAATCGCTAAACTTAAACACCCAGCCGTTCATAAAAGTCGAAGGCGGTATAGTACTATAGTAATAAAGCAAAGTGCAGAATCACTGAACCGGAATTGATAGTTTGAAAGCAATTATCGCGGGGCCCTTGAAAGTGCGGGGCCCGTAGCTACATATGTAGTTACTTTTGCTACTAGGAGAATCCGGCGCTGATATAGTGCAATCTATGACTCACAGGGAGGTCAGCAGCGATGGGTTAATTTTGGCCGACTTGCTTCCTTGACCCAAATGTCCCAATGAACTCACAACGATGGGTCAACGTTGCTTGATGTCAACGTCGGTCCAACGTTTGCATGTTTACTGGGATGCTTGCTAGTAAACAAAATAAATCACCTGCAAAATGTACAATTTTTTTTTTCTGTCAAACCATGTGAGGTTTCGACTTCGGATGGACCTGGACAGTCGATATTAAAACGCATCAAATCACTATTTTACTCCTGACACGGACAATTATATAAATTTCTATTTTTTAAAGCACAAAAAGTCTCCGATTGCACTTAGCTTTTCCCACATGGTCACATGAGCTGGCGTATACCAATGAGAAAAAGTTTACAAGTGCCTGTACTACTTAGGGCTCGCTGGTGTATATTTTAAGTTCTAAAGCTGCACTCTCGTTCTTACACCTGGGAGAGGCAGCTGATTAAAGTCAACAAGTGGAATGCACTCTTGACTTAAAGCTTTCGTGACTGCAGGAATTCATATTCTTGGGTCTTTCGGGAAAGTCACGTATATAGGTTCAAAGAAAATAACCAAAAAAATTACTGAAAAATATATTTTTTATTATTTTCTTTGAACCTAACTTTACCAAAAGAGCCAAAGAATATGGAATGCACTCTGCTTGTGAATTGCCGTCCGCAGCACACCGTGTGAGTGTTCCCTGTGGTTGCGCGAAAAGCCCCCGTGAACAGAGAAAACTAAAATGAAACAAATTCATAAATAACACACTGAGAGGCCCTAGAATAGGAACGGTCCTTTTTCATAGCGCAAAAATAAAGACGATGATCGCTCGTGTAGCCTTAACAGACTGTTGGAGCAAGTGCTGTTAGCGAGAACCTATGAAGGCCGGCACGACACACGAGAAGAGTGGGTGACCAACAACAGGCCCGGCCGCCTTTGTCTCCCAAGCGGCGATCTTTACACATCGCACCAGGTACTCATTTGCCTCCGAGCAAACCTAGGGGATGTCAATCACTGGTTCAGATAACCGTCACTGGGGATGGCTGTGAGCGGGAATCGAACCCGGGTCGCCGGATTCTTAGCGCAGCGCGCTAACCGCTAGCACACACATCGTAGCACACGCATCATGAAGATGGACCATTACCTGAAACGTCATTTATGAATGTGTCCTTGTAAGGCCACAGCGGTATGGAGGAATGTGTTGAGGAGTGGTTTTACTTTTTGTGAATTGTGCACCACTGCCAACCCAGCAGTAGCAGTATCACCGAATAATTTGTTTAATTTAAAAGCACCGTGGA